GACGATGACGTTTCAGTCCGTTCTGGACCATTATCAAGTCGATTGTGATAAGACAAGGGAGGCAAGGGCATTAAGAAACGTTTAATAAGATTTCCTTCTTAAGATTTCCGAGAGGAAGAAGAGGGCCTTCTTCCTCTCCCGCTTCCCACTGACATTTTCCTTGAACTCATCAGACTCTGTCTTGACTAATTCGTTCTCTTTCAACGGTAAATACTTCTCTCAAACTTTCGGTGTTGCTATGGGTTCCCCTCTTTCCCTTGTTCTTGCCAATCTCTACATGAAATACTTTGAAACTATTCTTCTTCCTTCTATTGATACTCGTCCCTCTCTCTGGCTTCGCTATGTTGATGACATTTTTGCTTTATGGTCTCATGACCTTAGTCTTTTCCAGCCTTTCCTCTCCTCTCTTAACAATCTGGCTCCTTCCACCCATTTCAAAGTTGAATGGGAATCTAATTCCCTCCATCTTGACGTTGACATTCACAGCTGTGTCCGGGTTCTCTTTCTCTGTCTACCGCAAACCCATGCATAGTGGCATGTACATTCACTTATTTTCCTACCATCCTCCTCCTGTTAAGAAAAGTGTCCTTGTCTCTTTCTTCCTCCAGCAACCTTCAGTTTCTTGATTCTGAAATTTCCTTTATCTACAAATCTTTCTCTCGCCTTGGTTACCCTTTACATTTTATAAACTGTGCCTATTCTCAAGCTAAACAAAAGTTCTTTCATCCTAAACCTGCTTCCAACATTATTAACACTGTGTTCTGCCTTCCCTTCATATCTGAACTAAATGATAGACTTAAGAAACACAAAAGAAGTGTTAAGTCTGCAGAAACAAACAATGTTCTCTTCTGTCATGTTAGGGATTCTAATCATCCTAATGATTGGTCTTCCTCTAAAATACTTTTTCCTGCCTCTACTTAGAGGCAGGAAAGACGCCGTCTTTCACAGACGCCGTCTTGTCAAATTGGCTCTGATAGACAACCTACCCAACATGACCCTGAGTCCTGGCTTTTCTGTTGACTCTTCCCTTTCTCAGTATATACTCAAATGTTCTAAACTTTCTAACATGACCTAACGTAAGCCTACCCTTCCTTTTATCTTTCTTTTTCTTGTTTTCTTTTATGATCCCTTTCTCATTCCTATTATTATACCCTTAATTACACCTTACCTTCCATACCCTGTCCCTTGATCTATCTTCCTCTAAGATTTCCATCTTTTCACGAATGGAAATCTTATTATACGTTTCTTAATGCCCTTGCCTCCCTCGTCTCATCACAATCAACTTGATAATGGTCCAGGACGGACCGAAACGTCGTCGTACTTTCACTTTCTAGTGTGTGGTTTGGTCAACATATTTCAGCCACGTTATTGTGACTCCTCGCCTGCATGTGGAGAATGTTCTCTTTGTACTGTAGCAGCTATACTTGCACTCACCAGCCTGGCTATTGCTTTCAAATCGAAGAGTAATTCAACAGAAAATGTGCAAATAACCAAAATATTCCCCTCTCCAATTCCTGCCGTGCCTAGACCACACGACGCTTGGACCACACGACGCTTGGACCACACGACGCTTGGACCACACGAAGCTTGGACCACACGACGCTTGGACCACACGACGCTTGGACCACTCGACGCTTGGACCACTCGACGCTTGGACCACACGACGCTTGGACCACACGACGCTTGGACCACTCGACGCTTGGACCACACAACGCTTGGACCACACGACGCTTGGACCACACGAAGCTTGGACCACACGACACTTGGACCACACGACGCTTGGACCACTCGACGCTTGGACCACACGAAGCTTGGACCACACGACGCTTGGACCACACGACGCTTGGACCACACGACGCTTGGACCACACGACGCTTGGACCACACGACGCTTGGACCACACAACGCTTGGACCACACGACGCTTGGACCACACGACGCTTGGACCACTCGACGCTTGGACCACTCGACGCTTGGACCACACGACGCTTGGACCACACGACGCTTGGACCACTCGACGCTTGGACGACTCGACGCTTGAACCACACGACGCTTGGACCACACGACGCTTGGACCACACGACGCTTGGACCACACGACGCTTGGACCACACGACGCTTGGACCACACGAAGCTTGGACCACACGACACTTGGACCACACGACGCTTGGACCACACGACGCTTGGACCACTCGACGCTTGGACCACACGACGCTTGGACCACACACGACGCTTGGACCACACGACGCTTGGACCACACGACGCTTGGACCACACACGACGCTTGGACCACACACGACGCTTGGACCACACACGACGCTTGGACCACACACGACGCTTGGACCACACTTATACAGCAGTAATTATACAGCAGTAAGGAGAGAGGCAGAAAGAAATTTTGAAAAAGGGATAGCAGATAAATGTAAAACAGAACCGGGCCTATTCTACAAATTCATAAACAACAAATTGCAGGTAAAGGATAATATCCAGAGGTTGGAAATGGGAAACAGATTCACGGAAAATGAAAAGGAAATGTGTGAAACATTAAATGAAAAGTTCCAAAGTGTGTTTGTACAAAATGAAATCTTCAGAGAACCAGACACAATAAGAATTCCAGAGAACAACATAGAGCGGATAGAGGTGTCTAGAGATGAAGTGGAAAATATGCTAAAGGAGCTCGGGAGGAACAAAGCAGCTGGCCCAGATGGCGTTTCACCATGGGTTCTGAGAGAATGTGCATCTGAGCTCAGCATTCCACTTCACCTGATCTTTCAGGCATCCCTGTGTACAGGAATCGTAGCAGACGTGTGGAAACAGGCTAACATAGTTCCAATCTACAAAAGTGGCAGCAGGGAAGACCCCCTCAATTATAGACCTGTATCATTGACAAGTGTAATAGTGAAAGTATTGGAAAAGCTAATCAAAACTAAATGGGTAGAACACCTGGAGAGAAATGATATAATATCAGACAGACAGTATGGTTTTCGATCAGGAAGATCCTGTGTATCGAATTTACTCAGTTTCTATGATCGGGCCACAGAGATATTACAGGAAAGAGATGGCTGGGTTGACTGCATCTATCTGGACCTAAAAAAGGCTTTCGACAGAGTTCCACATAAGAGGTTGTTCTGGAAACTGGAAAATATTGGAGGGGTGACAGGTAAGCTTCTATCATGGATGAAAAATTTTCTGACTGATAGAAAAATGAGGGCAGTAATCAGAGGCAATGTATCGGAATGGAGAAATGTCACAAGTGGAGTACCACAGGGTTCAGTTCTTGCACCAGTGATGTTTATTGTGTACATAAATGATCTACCAGTTGGTATACAGAATTATATGAACATGTTTGCTGATGATGCTAAGATAATAGGAAGGATAAGAAATTTAGATGATTGTCATGCCCTTCAAGAAGACCTGGACAAAATAAGTATATGGAGCACCACTTGGCAAATGGAATTTAATGTTAATAAATGTCATGTTATGGAATGTGGAATAGGAGAACATAGACCCCACACAACCTATATATTATGTGAGAAATCTTTAAAGAATTCTGATAAAGAAAGAGATCTAGGAGTGGTTCTAGATAGAAAACTATCACCTGAGGACCACATTAAGAATATTGTGCAAGGAGCCTATGCAATGCTTTCTAACTTCAGAATTGCATTTAAATACATGGATGGCGATATACTAAAGAAGTTGTTCATGACTTTTGTTAGGCCAAAGCTAGAATATGCAGCTGTTGTGTGGTGCCCATATCTTAAGAAGCACATCAACAAACTGGAAAAGGTGCAAAGACATGCTACTAAGTGGCTCCCAGAACTGAAGGGCAAGAGCTACGAGGAGAGGTTAGAAGCATTAAATATGCCAAAACTAGAAGACAGAAGAAAAAGAGGTGATATGATCACTACGTACAAAATAGTAACAGGAATTGATAAAATCGACAGGGAAGACTTCCTGAGACCTGGAACTTCAAGAACAAGAGGCCATAGATTTAAACTAGCTAAACACAGATGCCGAAGAAATATAAGAAAATTCACCTTCGCAAATAGAGTGGTAGACGGTTGGAACAAGTTAAGTGAGAAGGTGGTGGAGGCCAAGACCGTCAGTAGTTTCAAAGCGTTATATGACAAAGAGTGCTGGGAAGACGGGACACCACGAGCGTAGCTCTCATCCTGTAACTACACTTAGGTAATTACACTTAGGTAATTACACACGACGCTTGGACCACACACGACGCTTGGACCACACGACGCTTGGACCACACACGACGCTTGGACCACACGACGCTTGAACCACACGACACTTGGACCACACGACGCTTGGACCACACACGACGCTTGGACCACACGACGCTTGGACCACACGACGCTTGAACCACACGACGCTTGGACCACACACGACGCTTGGACCACACGACGCTTGGACCACACACGACGCTTGGACCACACACGACGCTTAGACCACACACGACGCTTGGACCACACGACGCTTGGACCACACGACGCTTGGACCACACGACGTTTGGACCACACGACGCTTGGACCACACACGACGCTTGGACCCCACACGACACTTGGACCACACACGACGCTTGGACCCCACACGACACTTGGACCACACGACGCTTGGACCACTCGACGCTCGAGTTTTCTGCATTTTATACACTTACGATTTGTTTACATGGCACCCAAGTACAAGTAAACAAACAAAATATTAACGAGAGTGTGTGCTCCCAACATTTTACTCCTCATTTGGAATACTAACTAAAGTTTACATATGTAGCAACCGTCAGTCTTGGCGCTTTCAAGCATCATTTATACTTATCTTTTAATCTGCGAAACTTGCAGCGATTTAGTCACGGAAAAGTCCCTTAATACTATCAAGGCGAGTCATACTCCCTCAGAATACCTTTACAATCAATAACTGCAAAACAACACTGTTTTTGCAGTTTTAAATACAAATATTTTTAAAACGAGTATCAAATTTAAAGAAAATGTACAACACATGGGTCTTTTTTTTTTTTTTTTACTTAAAATGCAGGTATAAAAAATGATAATAAAGAATGTTCATACACGTGGCCTTGTTATTACACTATGGACAAGCTATATGCAGTCAAACTGATTTTCAGATATAAAAGTGCCAATCATCAAATTTGGGTCATGACAAATAAAAATGGTCAATACATCCGAGGTATATTGATTGTGCATGTTCAAATTAAAAGCATAATTCTATTAAATATTCACTAATAATCCTATTTTTTTATCACAAAAATAAAATTATTTATAAAGGAATACACGAAACCTAGTTGATGACAAGCTGCTCCATACACACCGATGATGTCTTGCACGAGACACCCCCAGGCAGGGCTCGTGTGCAAGGCACTGATGATCGTCCTGCACGAGACACCCCAGGCAGGGCTCCAGTGCAAGGCACTGATGATCGTCCTGCACGAGACACCCCAGGCAGGGCTCCAGTGCAAGGCACCGATGATCGTCCTGCACAAGACACCCCAGGCAGGGCTCCAGTGCAAGGCACTGATGATCGTCCTGCACGAGACACCCCCAGGCAGGGCTCCAGTGCAAGGCACTGATGATCGTCCTGCACGAGACACCCCAGGCAGGGCTCCAGTGCAAGGCACTGATGATCGTCCTGCACAAGACACCCCAGGCAGGGCTCCAGTGCAAGGCACCGATGATCGTCCTGCACAAGACACCCCAGGCAGGGCTCCAGTGCAAGGAACTGATGATCGTCCTGCACGAGACACCCCAGGCAGGGCTCCAGTGCAAGGCACCGATGATCGTCCTGCACAAGACACCCCAGGCAGGGCTCCAGTGCAAGGCACCGATGATCGTCCTGCACGAGACACCCCAGGCAGGGCTCCAGTGCAAGGCACTGATGATCGTCCTGCACGAGACACCTCAGGCAGGGCTCCAGTGCAAGGCACCGATGATCGTCCTGCACGAGACACCCCAGGCAGGGCTCCAGTGCAAGGCACTGATGATCGTCCTGCACGAGACACCCCAGGCAGGGCTCCAGTGCAAGGCACTGATGATCGTCCTGCACGAGACACCCCAGGCAGGGCTCCAGTGCAAGGCACCGATGATCGTCCTGCACAAGACACCCCAGGCAGGGCTCCAGTGCAAGGCACCGATGATCGTCCTTCACGAGACACCCCAGGCAGGGCTCAAGTGCAAGGCACTGATGATCGTCCTGCACGAGACACCCCAGGCAGGGCTCCCGTGCAAGGCACTGATGATCGTCCTGCACGAGACACCCCAGGCAGGGCTCAAGTGCAAGGCACCGATGATCGTCCTTCACGAGACACCCCCAGGCAGGGCTCCAGTGCAAGGCACTGATGATCGTCCTGCACGAGACACCCCAGGCAGGGCTCAAGTGCAAGGCACTGATGATCGTCCTGCACGAGACACCCCAGGCAGGGCTCAAGTGCAAGGCACTGATGATCGTCCTGCACGAGACACCCCAGGCAGGGCTCAAGTGCAAGGCACTGATGATCGTCCTGCACGAGACACCCCAGGCAGGGCTCAAGTGCAAGGTACTGATGAGCGCCCTGCACGAGACCCCAGGCAGGGCTCCAGTGCAAGGCACCAATGATCGTCTTGCACAAGACACCCCAGGCAGGGCTCCAGTGCAAGGCACCGATGAGCGCCCTGCACGAGACACCCCAGGCAGGGCTCCAGTGCAAGGCACCAATGATCGTCTTGCACAAGACACCCCAGGCAGGGCTCCAGTGCAAGGAAATTAAGCACTAAAATTCATTTAAACTTTAAAAATTTTGACAGTGTATTTATTGTTTTAAACCTTTGATTGCTATTTTATTTCACACTCAAATGATATTGGACCCTTGTGTGAAGGGAATATAGTAATATATATAAAGGAATGATTAACCACATTAAAATGGTGCATTCCAATCCAAAAGTTCACTTTCAAGATATAAACATACAATGCATAATTTGTATCCCATGACACAAATATGTACTGCAGTACCACTTAACTTTATCTTATAGTTATCAGCGTAAAGATCCGCTACACCTCAACTACACGTGCGTGGGGGGGGGGGGGACTCGATAAGCTGTAAAGTTTCAGTTCCAACAAGTATTCAAGTGCTATGCTCTCAGAATTTTGTAGAAACCATAATATTTGATATATAATAATAAACTTAGACTAATTTATAAATGCTCTGAGTTCTTAGTAATGACTGTTTTAGCTACAAATATTTGAGTCCAGTATTTTGTGCCAAAATTATTTAAACAGAATACATCAAGTAATATTATGTATAATACAAACGAACATACACAATAACAAAAACGCAAATTGAGCAAATAAGCTAACAAGAAGAGCTGCACAATTGCATACGTTATGCCGGGGAGCATCTTTGGTGCACTCACAACGCTTCACAAACCCCCAATTATCCTAAATAAACTGGCAAAGGCATCAGTGTTATACGTAAATTATCAGTGACTAGTCAACTAGGATAAATACAATTATTCAATATGTGACTCGCGTCTTTGGTAATGTTGACTTTGAAAGAGTCCACTTCCTCCTCCTCCTCCTCCTCCTAAACTTGCTATACACACTCTTCCACGTTCAGTAGTACTCCTAAACTTGCTATACACACTCTTCCACGTTCAGTAGTACTCCTAAACTTGCTATACACACACTTCCACGTTCAGTAGTATTAAAAAAACAAATCTTGCAAGTTACTGCGAACCTTTCTATTAGTCTAAAAGGAATGTAACATTCATTACATTTAACTATGGAATAACTGTCTTATGTACATAAAGATGTATAGAAACACTTTATGTTGTAGCCATAATAGCAAAATAAATAAATAAGCCGATCAAAAGTTCACGATACTGCGGTGAATTTTGGTATAAAGTTCCTTACAGGATTCTTTGTTCTATTTTATTCACAAAATTCAAGTCCTAAGTAGGCACTTGAAAGAGAAACTCCATTCATTAACCACACTCATAACAGGAAATGAATGAGGCTATTACCTTCGAATGATTCAGTTACTGATAATTAATGAATGGATGGATATAAAAGTAGACTGGCAGTTACACACACGAGATCTTAACCATAAACTAAAAAGTGATCATTCTGAAGCTTAAACATACTGATACATATCCGACTGCGAGAGAAGAGGCTGCTTGTCTTCCGCACACTCGGCCAGAGTGTATATGTGCAGCCAGTCTGTTCTGTCGGGCTTGAGCACACCGAAGCACTGCCAGTTGAGTAGGTCTTGAAGGTTCTGCCATATGCCGTGATGGAAAGGTGACCGAACTTCTCCTTTCTTCCCCACCTGATGATAGATAATCAATTAATTTGGCACGGTCTTTCTCGGGAAGCAACCCACAACAGTTGTCTTAGTCTCGGGTACCTATATACTGGTGGATGAATAGCGGAGTGAAACATCGGGTGCCTTAGGCCAGCAACTGATCTTTCCAAGGATGCAGTTCACAACCCACAAGTCCTGGGTACTTACCTACTGCCAGGTGAACAGCAGAATCAGGTAAAAGGAAACGTGCCCAAATGTCTCGGTCCTGCTGAGGATACTGAAACCTGGACCTCTTGGTTATCAACTAAATATGCAGACCACTGTGCAAAAAAACCAGCGTTGAATATAATGAAACGCCATTTTCTGGGTGACACCCGGAGGGGTTCCTGGAGCTATCCAGGCTGACGTGGACATGTTAGACTTTGGCATCAGTCATTGTGAATCGAGTTCTAGACTTACTGATGACCACAAGCCAGAACCTGGCCCCTTCAGAGAGACACGAGGAACAATGGCCTATAGAAATGCACATGTGGTTATGGAGCATTCTATGTCAGCCATTGACCGGGTCAGGCACCCAGAAAGGTAAACATCCCAAAACAAACCTCTATTCTGGTTAAAACTACTACTGAAAGTCAAACTAGTGGACAGAACTCACCAAATGAAAACTAGCAAACTAGTGGACAGAACTCCCTAAATGAAAACTAGCAAACTAGTGGACAGAACTCCCTAAATGAAAACTAGCAAACTAGTGGACAGAACTCCCTAAATGAAAACGAGAATGATGTCACCACTTGTCACACTGCCGTTTGCACAGTTTCCCCCCTCTCAGGGAGGGGGAAGGGGGAGCGCCAGACAAACCCGTGCCAGCAATCCACACCCCCATTTCTGAGATTGGAACGCAAAAAAAAAAAAAAAAAAAAAAAAAAAAAAAAAAAAAAAAAAAAAAAAAAAAAAAAAAAAAAAAAAAAAAAAAAAAAAAAACGCTGACCGGAGGGAGAGAGGGTTACTGAGGAGCTTCTGGGTCTCGCCTAGAAAATGGCGTTTCATTATATTCAAAGCTGGTTTTCTGGGAGGAGCCCCTTCAGCTCCCTGGAGCTAACTACCCAAAGACAAGGACAAAAGAAGAACGAACCCGGGGAGGCAGAAACCCCGCACCCGAAACACAAAAGCAAGACAACGGACACCACCAAACGACCTCGCAGACGACACGGGAACCCAAACTCTGGAACAGGGGAGAAGGGGAAACATGATCAACGCAAGCGCATCCCCGGACACAGAAGCATGCTTGAGAGTCGTGACCGGACACACTACGCAATGCACTCTCGGCCTAACCAACCAAGCATCAACAACCCAAGGACCCCTCAAGAAAACTGCAGTCTCATCCCATGCTAGAAAAGGAGACGGCTGCAACCGAACAAACCTAACACCAGGAACAAACAAGCAGAACCCCTGCGCCTGAGGAGAGCATGAAACTCTCTGATCCAACTCCCAGAGGCCAATGCCAATAGGAAAAGGAGCCCTTGAGAAACAATCTTGAACCGAAGGGGCCACTACAAACCGAGGAGGAGAGAGAAAAGATAGCACCTGATTCAAAGACCAGGACGGCTTAGGTGGCACACGAGCAGGCCCGAGGTGAAACAATGCATGAGAGCGCGTGTGAAACAGCGCAGAAGGAACAACAACACCGAACGCAAGCTGCAGCGGCTCCGCCAGCGCCGCACGAGAAGACAGTAAAATGGCACAAGATGACGGTCTGGAAACAACCACGAGAGAAAAGACAAGACAACCCCAACTGAGACTTAAGGAAACCTACGAAGGGACAAGAAAAACAGAAGGATCGCCAGGAAACCACATATGGCCGATGAGACGAAGCACGCTGGTGGGACACCATTAACGAAGCCACCTGATCACCATACAATAGGCGATAAACCAGAGTCAGAAGACCAGACACGAAGACTTGAGGAGAAGATCGAACCAGCTACGTGACGGACTGGTCTGATCTGCTGAAGAGGCAGAGCCGAGTGAAAACCCCCAGGTTCGAACCAACCACCAAGGAGCCAAGAGGACAACCCTTCCCAGGAAAGTTTCCAAGCGAGCCAAGACCCAAAGTGTTACGAACCCGATTCCATTGTCGGAGCACGGAGCAGCGATGTCAATGCCATCTGTGAGTCCGCTCCCGAAACACCCCCACAAAATGGACGACGCTATCTGGTGGTGGCAGGATGATACCAGCAAGAGGCGCTAGATTCCTGTCATGGTCAGCTCGAGACGTAGCTGGTGCTGACCTCTGGTGAGGTGGCGCCTAGAAAATCAGCGTCATCTATTGTAGGAGGAGTTGTATGTCTATGTCAGACTCCGTAAGTCGTATTTCCTAGTGTCCCATGTACTGACCAGTTTACTGATGACGTGTCTGTATCCACAGAGTCGACGTAGGGCTGCAGTGGTACGAAGACAGGCAGTCTACCCAGGGCAGCCATTATCTCTCTACTCCATTCTACTTTACAGAAGCAGTGAGCCGCCGTCGAAGAGGAACTGTATAGTGTTCTACTGTCTGCTTGTGAAGTGGCAGTGACGGAATTTGGTGTATCCTGGGACTGGCTAGAGGAATTGACGACTGACAGTAAGGTGCTACGGAGGAGTGTAACTAGCTAGTTGCAAGAAGCTCCTGCCAAGGGTTCGCTTCCCTTGTATTTGTTCGTGAAGAGGCCCAGCAGTGCGAGGCTGATGTTCTCTGCCAGCACCAGGCTGGAGAGTGATAGTGGGTGTTCACAAGGAGCACCTAGTGAGACTGTGTATAGGCTGGCCAGTGGCTAAGGTAGACTCGTTGGTGTTTCCCAGTACTGGTGGAGGACGGTACTGTGTGTTGAGGAAACACGGAAGCTGACAAGACTGCATCGATTGAGCATTGAGGAGCGCTTAGTGTCCTATGAGAGTGACACTTGTGTATATATCTGTGTAGTAATACTTCCTTTATGATTTTATATGAGGTGATGGGAAAGTGATTATATGTGAATATATTGATAATTGATGAAGTGTCGTATTCAATGCAACCGCCCCATTGTGTTTTATTTGCATTACCAAGCTCACTACTTGAAAGCCACTACTAACTTGGGGTTGGATACCAGAACTTTAGTTCCTCTAGCAAAGAATCTGGTTGTGACCCATTGTGGCCGTAACACAGAGCAACAGCACAACCGGGGGAAGAGGTACAGGAACCCGAAGGGATAGCCGGCAACGCAGCAACTGACGCAAGGCCCCCGGAGGCTGAACCCAACAATCGCGAGAGAGGCGGAAGGGACAAGCCCGGAGGAACCAGAACCGTCGACGCAGTCAAACTCGACCCAGCAGGTAGACCATCACGAAAAAGATCAGGCACCTGCACAACCCTCAAGCAACTGCCAGGTGATCCGGGAGTCCACAGAACAGGTGAAGGTGGGACAACAGCCAAAGCAGAAGAATGGGGAAGTCCCCCAAGTCACCGGAACCCATACCCGGCGAGCTGGGAAGAACCAAAACTCTGGTAAGCAGACACACGGACCAGCTGGGAGCCCAGACCAACCAGCCGTTGAGGTAGGCCAGCACCCGAACACCTAACAGACGCAGGCGGGTCACCACGAGCCAAGTAAGGTGTGAAAACACGCAAGGCGCCAGGATCAAGCCGAATGGAAGGCAACGAAAGCGGTAACTACGATACCCCACAACCAACCAAGCCTGTCCCTGAACCCCGGAGAAATTGGGATGCGTCAATACACAACCCGGAGGTCCAGGGACACCATCCAAGCACCCGACTCCAAAAGAAACCGGACCCGGGACGGAGCAGTCATCCGAAAGGAGGGGCAATAGACCCAGGGGTTCAGACGGAACAATTCCAGAATGAACCACAGGTCTGCACAGTCCCAGTTCCGAGACAGGAACAGATGGGAACCCATCGAAGGGCCATCGTCGTTACGACCATGCCCAAGCGCACCCACTCCAAGTTGACTCGTCAGAGTGCAGCAGAGCCTCACCCCACCAACCCCGAATCCTCAAAGAAGGAGGGGCCACCAAAGCCACAGCAGGCCGGACCCAAACCCAACCCAAAAACCCACAAAACGTGAGACCAGGTGAGAGAGAACAGTGCGAGCCTCCCCCCCCCCCCGCCATTGCCCTATCAATGGGGCGAACCGCAAAACTGCCACCACTGGCTCACCATGATGGGAGGAACCCCGAGCCCTGGCACAACCCCTCTGAAGAGAACCTCCCCCACCCCGGGATCCCCAGAGGACCAAAAAGTCCGACAGAGGACGACAAGGAGAAGCAGCAGCCCGCAGATACTGCGCCACCACGGAACACGCTAAGAGCAAGTAACAAAAAAAGGAGAAGAAACTAAGAGCCAGGGTCCAGACAGATTCCAAGAGGAAGCAAGTACTGCCTGTCAACACGCAAGACCCAAAACAAAAACAGATACATCGCATCCCGCAGGATCGGCACGAACAGCTCCAACAGGGCAGACAATGCAAGCGCCACCATGACCAAGGCACCCGTCCCTGGAACAGCCTCAAGTGCCTCCACGCCCTCCTCAAGTCAATCCGAGGACAGCTCCGGGAGGAAAAAGAACCACAAGACCAAAGCGCACAAAAAGCTGCACAAGGCCAAGATCCTGTGGAAGGGCAGGGACGAACAAGCACATATGGAGTTGCTCAACCCCCCTTCCCCTCCCCCCAGGTAAACCTGGACTACCGTAAGCGCCACTCAAGCATGCGAAAGGACAGAATGCATGCCAAGCCTCCAGTGAAAACACAGGGCAGATCTCCAGCCAGGACGACACCAGAACTTATCAACGAACCCAGTACTCTTCTGAGAGTTCTGAGTACTCAGTACTAAGAACTCTTCATCTCCCTTCTCTACCGAAGGAAGAAGAAGACCCAAAACGGAATGAAATGGCTGAATCACAAGAGAGGCATAATTCGAGTCATGCAGGAGGGAAGCTGCAATGGCCTCCCGTACCACACGAGGAAGGGTACGGGAAACAGAAAAACACAGGA